AACACTGGAAGCCCACTGCCTTGAAGCCCTCTATGCTTCTCAGAAAACAAAGAGGGAGTCTCCTTGTCCTCTAGTCCCATGGGTACCCCTCCCTGAGGGGCTCCTAATACCCAGGATCAAGAGTCCTGTGTGCTGAGGAAACCTCCTACAATCCTCTACAAAAGCCAGAACCAGCTACCAGAGGATCAGGCTCAGAAAGAACTGTCCATGTGTACTGACATTTTCTCCTGAGACCAAAATGAATCCCAGGGAGAAAGAGCACTCACCAGGGACCCCATAAGCCCTGGCTCCTATTTCTGGCTTTGCCTCTAACTCTCCTTATGACCTTAGGCAAGTCACTTAACCTTCCTGACCTAAGGTTTTCCTTCCTGTTAAATGGGAATAATTACATCATTATAACCACCAATCACTGAGGTTTTACTCTGAGCCAGGTCCTGTGCTAGAAACATTGTCACATTTATCCTCATAGTGCCCTCTGAAGTAGGTACGGTTTTCATATCCATTTTCAGACAAGGAAACTATGCACGAACAGGAAAGTTAGGGAACATGTCCACAGTCCATGGTCGGTAAAAGTGGACCTGGGTCTCAGTACCATGTCCACTGTGACCTACAGAATTACTTTATAAAGTTCAAGGACAGATGTAAAAGTGTTTTGAAAGCAAATAAAAAGGTGGGTGGGACAGGGGTTGTGTAATATAAATATAAATCACAAACCCCAGGACATGACTTAAGGGATCTTCCAAACCCCTTTAAGAACTTTCTATGGAATCTGTCTATAGAATCAGAGATCACCAAGGAGGGAGAGATCCTCAACAAGTCATTGTTTTTCTTCCTCCCTCCCTTTGGACCAGAACTCTATGCCTAGCCCAAGTCTACAGGTGAGACCAGAAGGGTGAAGCAAGGGGAATCCAGGGCCTCGGGTTGTTCTGTCCATTGCCAGGAGCTCACCCGTACATTTCAGGTGCTTAGCTGTTTGCCGAACACTATGTGAAGGTGCGAGCCAAGGAATGGCTGGGAAACCTCGGAACAAAACAAGTGCACTGGAGCAGCAGCGCCATAACAAGAAGGAACGTGTGCTGGTGCTGCAGCTGGGCTTTTGGCCTGCCCAGACTGCCTCAGCCCTGTGGCTCCCACTGGGGAGGAGAGACTTGCCTGGGGCCCTGCAGCTCCCAAACTCCCTGCAGGTCTCTGCAGCTCTGGGAACGTGCCTGGACTGTTGCTGCACTGACCATGGAGGTCTGGCTGGGTGCCTGCCCCCTGCCTTCCCAGGGCTTCTGACAGGCTGGGAAGTGACTTATTCAAAGTCCCCACTCTGCCCTAAACCGGTTCCGCCCAGGGAGGGATGCTGACAAACAGATGCAGTCACGCAGGGACTCACAGGGCCATGCAAGGCGGAGCTGGCTGACGCCCTGGCTGTCCCAAGACTCAGGCCAGGGCACACCTATATGTACTCTGGGGTCAGTGATATCTAACCTCCCCTGGCCATGGGGTCTTGGAGAATTATTTGTAAAGAAAATACTTGAAAAGTACTTCTTTACTCAGGTGTAAAATGGAAAAAAAAGAAGTCTTTGCTTTCAACAGTAAGTGTGTGTTCCTCTTCAAAAGGCTTTACTTCCTATTCTTATTTTTTTTTTAAGATTTTATTTTTTAAGTCATCTTTACACCCAATATGGGTCTCAGACTCACAGCCCAGAGATGAAGAGTCACAGACTCTACCAACTGAGCCAGCCAGGAGCCCCTTTACTTCCTATTCTTTATGGTATTAAAGCCGAACTGCTTGGCTTGACGATCAAATCCTACCACCACCCAAATCCTGTCAACTCAACCTACCCATTATGACCCCTCTGGACTCTTCCTGACCCTCCTGTTCCCTGTCACGCCTATGTGCCTGCAACTACCACCCACCTTCTCTCTCCCATCTACTATGGTGCTGGGGCCACTTCACAAAGCCTTCTCCGACTTGGGCTTTCCTGGGTGCTCACAAGTGGGCCCTTGGTGGCCTCAGGATTGCACGTAAACAGATGGGAACACAGTTTTGACTCTCAAATTAGAAGGGTGCCTGTTTCTTTTCTTAAGATGTGTCTCCCATCAGGCATTAAATAATACATAAAAATTCCTGCTGACTCACCTGAAGTCAGAATTCAGTTAAAAACAACTCCCCCCTCAATACTCTCTCATGTCCCAAGGAAAGGAAAATTAAGATAAACAAATAAGTTAAATTGGAGGCAAACTCAAATCACTCCTATTTCTGCAAGCTGGGTCGGTGTGAAGAGAAAAAAAAAAGGTTTCTAACTCCAACCCAGATGTGAGAAGTAGAGGAACTCCCTAAAAAATGGATAGAATAAATCACAAGGAATAGCCTCACTTAGAGATTTCAGGAAGGAAAACACAGTTAAACTGAAAATTTAAGTGGGGTTAACACACACACACACACACCAATGACAACGACAACGACAACGACGATGACGACAAAAAGCCCGGAAATATTTTTAGTCCTGCATCTAGCAGAGTCCCTTGGGGGCTTCATTTGTCCTTCAACACATTCTTCCTAACACCTGCTTTTACTAAAAACCAACAGCCCAACACCAGAGCTCTGTGAGTCAGAAGCAGAGTGAAACTAGACCCACAGGTACTCAGCTGTGAAGCACGTCACCCAGTTAACAAGCAATAGCCACACTAAGTGTGACCCGTCAGTGCCCCATAGCCATAAGGGTGGGTCACTGGGAAGCTGAACCACGCGGTGGGTGGCACACGTGACCCCACATTCTCCTCCCCTTGTTCCTCTCTCTGGTCCCTACCTCCACCTTACCCAGCCAGCTGCCAAATGCACCCAAAAAAGTCCTCGTGCCACCCTCCACCCAAACAATTTCCACGTTATTTCAAGTGAGACCTTGGGACCAACACATATTTCTTCCCTGTTCTTTTTTTTTTTTTTTAGGCAAAGAATAGCAAAACAGAACTTAGAAAACTCAAGTGATGTGGAGAAGAATTAGATCTAAATACCTTTTGGATTTAACCTTGTCTCATGTAGTTAATCTCTTTGAGTGCAAATCTATGTCTACACAAAGCAACTATCCCTTTAAATCTCAAACAACATCAACATGGTTCTATTCTTCTCTCAAATGCTTAGAAACTAGACTTGCTCATTATAGCTTATGGACTCACAAGACACAATCACAGCCCACACAAAAACCTGCACAAAATATTCACAGCATTGTTCACAATAGCCCAAACTGGAAACAACTCAAACGTCCATCAAATGATGAATGAATAAACAAAAGTGGTATAACCACACAACGGAATATTATTTGGCAATGAAAAGAAGGGAGTACTGACATGTGCTGTGACATGGACGAACTTTGAAAACATCGTGTGAAGTGGAAAAAGCCAGACACAGAAGATCACAGGTGGTGAGGCGCTATCTCCATAATGCCCAGTATAGGAAGTCTACAGGGATGGGATGTAGATGGGCCACTGTGGGCGTGGTGGGGGGGGGTTGCTGTGGGAAACAGGCGGAGTGAAGGTGGGCAAACATGCAGGGGTGCAGTTTCTTTTGGGGTAAGGAAAGTGTTCTAAAATTGACTCTGGTGATGGACATGCAACTCTGTGAATATATTAAAGGCCATTCAATCACAATTTTAAATGGATGAACCGCATGGTTACAGCCCAATAAAGCTGTTATTTAAAAAAAAAAAAAAAAAAGAAAGGACAAGGAAGAAATATCTCACAGTCATAAGTTAGTTACTGTTGCTTGTGTAAGTGACTGTTGTGTAAATCTATCAGTTTGAAACATCCACAGTGACTGTGTCCTTGAGGCTATTTGTCCTGAGTGGCCGGAAATGAAATGTCTCAAAGTTGTGCTCAGGAAGGTACCCCCCTGGGGAAAAGGACAGCTTGTCTTTTGCTGACCACAATTTTAACTGTAGCATTTTAAAATGTTCAGATATTGGCAGGGACTTAAGAATGACCTGGTTGATCAAATAGCTCATTGTGATAAGACTTAAGATTTAGGTTGCACCAGTCATGAGAGCTAAGCTGAGACAGAGTCCTGCTTGGGGCGCTCAGGGGTGTCAGTGTGTGGACCCTCAGATGGGTTGTTCAACCTCCTGGGCACAGAAGACTCTTCACACTTTGCCACTTTTCAAACTCCACCAGTTTATGGAGGATACAGGTCCTCCAGATGAACGACAAAGCTACCTTGTATCAGGTGGTACATAGAATAAAACAGATAAGGGTTTGCATAAGGCAAAGAGCAACAAAGGCAAATTTTACTAGTGAGCCAACAATTCAGATTAAAAGAAATCATGAAGAAAAATAGGATTATGTGAAGTTAAGATGGTAAATTTAGAGAAGGAGGTTATTTAGGGATTATAATTTGTTTTCCATTAGTTTTACTTTGTTCCTTTTTCAGGTCTACAAGAACAAATATGGTTCATTTTCTACCCATAGGTGGCCAACCTCATTTTCTGGTAAGAGGCAAGAGTTCTAGAGACCCTAGGCTGCTACCCTGAGTTTGCTACATCTGAGCTCTGTACATAATTTAACCTCTGAGCCTTGGCTCCATTTGTAACAAAGGAGTAATACCCCTAATTTGGCCAGGTTTTTGTGGGGACTGAATGAGGTGGAAACTGCACAGCACAGCGCCCGACACACAGAGGCTTGGTGCAAAGCTGGCATGGGGGAGGATGAAAGACAGGGTTCATCAAGCTCCCTACAGATAAAGACCAGGACACTAAAGGAAGATGTCACAGAGTCACTGTCAGGCAGGGCCCTACAGGGGTTGCAAGTAAGGACAAAACATCATCGAAGGAAGCAGGTGCTGAAAATCAGGGAGGGTCTTTCCTAGACTGCTCATGACAAGGCCAAGAAGTGGTGCATTGCCCTTAGCTTTACAGAAAGCACACTTTTTCCCAAATATGCAACTTAGAATTATTGTCTGTTCAGGGAAAATAGGGTCGAAATAATCCTCCCACATAAACAATCCTCCCACAAATGCTCACATTGCAGATGGCAGCTGGGAGTCCATTTTCTTATTTTTCTGCAGTCCAGCCTGGGCACTGCTCGCAGGGCAGAGAAGTCCAGGGCGTGCTGCCACCTGCAGGCAAAACAAGGAAAAGGACAAAGTTATGGAGCAGAACACTCACCTTAAGCGCCAGGCAACTGGAATAGCTGGGTCCATCCAGGTGCGAGAGCCAGGTGAACCCGCTCAGCTCTGTGTTTGTGGCTCTACCACAGTGTTGTGACACAGTCAGTAAACATTCTAGACTATCAAGGACTTGAGCATCTCTTAACAGCAACAACAAGCAAACTCACACAGGGTTCACCATGGGCCGGACACCGCTCTCAATGATTCACATTTATTAACTCATTTAATCTTCACAAAAAAATTGAGTATTTTATTTATTTTTTAAAAGATTTTATTATTTATTTGACACACAGAGAGAGATCACAAGCAGGCAGAGCAGCAGGTAAAGAGAGAGGGGGAAGCAGACTCCCTGCTGAGCAGAGAGCTCGATGTGGGGCTCCATTCAGGACCCTGAGATCATGACCTGAGCCAAAAGCAGAAGCTTAACCCACTGAGCCACCCAGGCGCCCCCCAAAATTGAACATTTTAAAGGTCTTTGCTGATTTGCCTGATTATCTGAGTTAGCATGAATAATTAAAATGAAGAACTTTATAATAGCCAGTTTCAAAGAGGGTTCTGATATGAAAACTCTGTGAGAGGTTCAGAGCACCCTGGATATAAGGCATCCCCCATTTTTCAAGCCCCTGTTATGGACCAGACATGCACCTAAAGACAAAGTCCCTGCTCTTGTGGGCTTCCATTCTGGTGAAGGGAGGGGACAAGAGAAGAGGCAATAAATGCTGTGCAGAAGCAGCAGCAGCAGGGAGGGGACGCGCAGTGATGACCATGCTGTTAACATTCATTCACTTATTCATTTATTCCCACATACTCACTAACCATCTACCATAAGCCAGATACCATGCTGGGATGCAACAGTGGGCAAAGACCAGACATGGTCCCAGCCTGTGTGGGGTACTTACTCACATAGGAGAAGCATATATGAATCAAATAATCACTTAAATGAATGCCAAGGTATAACAGCCCAGGTAAGTGTGACAGCAGAATGACACAGGCCACTACAAGAGCATCCTAGGGAGGACTGACCTTGTCTGGAGCCTTGCAAAGGCCTGGAATGGAGTGTGGGGAAGAGAAACATCCTTGGTAAAAAGCATACAATGCACAAAGGCTGGATCATAGACAGCAAGCCAGAGGCCAAGGAGAGAGGGAGGAGGTAGAGGAGGTGAAGAAGGGGTGTGAGCAGCCTTTGCATGGTACCCCCAGGCCCAAGAAGCCCTCATCCTCTGAGGATTAGAGCACCACATTAGACTTTTAGGCAGAGGAATAATGTGGTTGGATGTGTGTGTGTTTCTAAAAGGCTACACTGTGTGGTAGGCTGAATAAAGGCCCTGCCAAAGACACTGATGTCTGGATCACTAGAAGTTGTATGTTCCCTAACATGGCAAAAGGCATGTTGCAGAATGGGATTATATTATGGATCTTGAGATAGGAAAATAATCCTGCATCCTCCAGGTGGGCTCAATGTAATCACAAGATGGAGACAGATGAGATTTGACTACAGAAGAAGAGCAGCAGAGCAGGGTGGCATGAGAAAGACTTGTTGGTGTTAAATATGGAGGAAGGGGCCATGAGCCAAGGAATCCAGAAAGCCTCCAGCAGCTGGAAGAGGCAATGAAATGAGTTTCCTCCAGAACCTCTAGTAGGAACACAGCCTTGTTAAAACTTTGATTTTAGGACTTTGACCTGCAGAACTGTAAAATAATTATTTTTTAAAAGATTTTATTTATTTATTTGACAGAAAGAGAGAGAGTGTGTATGCATGAGCATAAGTGTTGGGGGGAAGGGCACAGGAGAGGGAAAAGCAGACTCCCCAGCTGAGCAGGGAGCCTGACAGAGGGCTCAATCCCAGGACCCTAAGGTCATGATCTGAGCTGAAGGCAGATGTTTAACTAACTGAGCCACCCAGGCGTCCCTGTAAAAAAATAAATTTATATTGTTTCAAGCCACTAGTTTTGTGTAATTTGTTACAGCAGCAATAGGAGACTAACACACATTGGCTTCTGCGAAAAAAATAGGCAAGAGGTAAAGGGAGATAGGTACCAGTCAGAGGTTACTGACAAGAGAAGTGACAGCCTGAATCACTGCAGTGGTAGCAGTGGGGGTAGAGAGGAGTTGAAGGACCCCAGGGCAGGGCAGTCGGAGGTGGGGGATGTTGGCCAGTCAAAGATCTTGCTACAACCTGGCAGATATTACTGGATTGCCACAACAGGCTTCTGTTAGGCTCAAGACCTGGCTAGCTGGCCCTGGGCAGAGCCCAGCACCCTTGTAAAGGGAGGAAGCTGTCTTTGAGAGAGATAGCACTTAGTCACTCAACAGGGACCTGCCAATCCCATTCCTACAAAGGAATCCAGGGGTTTCCAGGAACAAGCTCTAAGAAGTAACATCCTAGGAATTTCTAGAAGGCAAAGATAGCAATTGTTTCTGCCAAGGATTAGGCCTTCAGTGGACAATTTTTTTTCTTCCCAACAGAGATTTTGTAATCTTGGAAAGACGGCATCCAAATTTAAATATATGCACCTCCAACCCAGGTGATGTGGAACCATGATTATATCTGACATATAGAAATTTCATGGCAAAATGGTGCAGGAAATACACACACACACACACACACACACACACACACATATAATTTAAGTATATAACATATGTATTATATACTGGGAGTATATACTTTATATATTGAAATTAGAAAAATATATATATTTGTATATATAGATATAAATAAAGCAAATGGGGTAAAATGTTAATAGGTGAATCCAGGTAAAGATTCTTTTTACTACTTTTATTTTTTAACTATTCTTTTTACTATTGGATATTCTTTTAATCATTTTTATTTTGGTCCCTTTTCTGGAAGTTTGAAATTATTTCCAAATAAAAATTTAAGAAGCAAAAACAAAACAAAACAAAACATGGCCAGTAGAATAATGCAGAAATTACAGGATGAGAACAAATGAGAAACTAGGAGACCCCCTTTCAGCATCTACTCTACTCTTCTTTAATGATCCAAACCCACTTAAAAAAAAGTGGGATCCTGATGTGAGCCTGCCTGATAGGACTGTTGAGAAGAAAAGGCAATAAAAACGATTCCAAACAATTTTGTATATATTCCTCTGATTTACTCTGGAAGTATAAATATACACCCACAAAGACCAAGTATCTTGGAGTGTACTGAGGGGTCACAAGGAAGTCCTATCTTCTTTTGACTCTGCAGCAGGCTACGGGGACCTAATTGGATTCCAGGAGCATGTAAGGACTCAGGAGTGCAGATGGCGAAATGCCAAGCAGTCCTGTAAGAGTGGGAACAGCTTAATTAAAAAATCAGTATGTGTAAAAAATATATATATATACATAGATATTGATATATGTATACATTGTTTTTCTTGTAACAAAGTGATAGATGTTTATTAAAGGAAAACACAAAAATCTGTAGTCCCAACCACCCAGACATAACTTATTTGGAATTATTTTTTTCTACTCCTTTCCCCAATAATTTTAGTGTATACACACACACACACACACACACACACACACACACACACATATAAAACAAATACATAGTCTTATATATAATATATATATATAGTTTCTTTTTAACAACAATGGGATACTGTATATATTTTTCTTTTGTAATCAGTTTTGTTTTACCTAACAGTATGTAATTTTTCCATGTCATTAAATATACTTTTTAATATCTAACAGTATTATATCATAGGATGATATCAAATTCATTTTTTTAAGACTTTATTTATTTATTTGACAGAGAGAGATCACAAGCAGACAGAGAGGCAGGCAGAGAGAGAGGGAGAAGCAGGCTCCCCACTGAGCAGGGAGCCCAACTCGGGGCTCAATCCCAGCACCCTGGGATCACCACTGGAGCTGAATGCAGATGTTTAACCGACTGAGCCACCCACGCACCTGGAAACATGTCTAAAGATATAGTCCTGGAAGTAGAATTATTGAGATAAAAGTGTATGGACACTTTAAAAAGTTGTTGATAGGGGCACCTGGGTGGCTCAGTGGGTTAAAGCCTCTGCCTTCGGCTCAGGTCATGATCTCAGGGTCCTGGAATCGAGCCCCGCATCGGGCTCTCTGCTCAGTGGAGAGCCTGCTTCCTCCTCTCTCTCTCTCTCTCTCTGCCTGCCTCTCTGCCTACATGTGATCTCTGTCTGTCAAATAAATAAATAAAATCTTAAAAAAAAAAAAAAGTTGTTGATAGGGAGGCCTGGCTGGCTCAATCAGAAGAGCCTCAGACTCTTGATCTTGGGGTTGTGATTTTAAGCCCCATGTTGGGTGTAGACGTTACTTAAAAATAAAATCTTTTAGGGCTCCTGGGTGGCTCAGTTGATTAAGCAATGTGCCCTTGGTTTTGGCTCAGGTCATGATCTCAGGGTCCTGGGATTGAGCTGTGTGTCTGGATCCATGCTCAGTGGGAAATCTGCTTAAGGATTTCTCTCCCTCTCTCTCTGTCCCTCTTCCCACTCAGGGGTACTCACACACACTCTCTCTCTCTAATAAGTAAACCTTTAAAAAAATTTTTTTAAATAAGATCTTTTAGGGGTGCCTGGGTGGCTCAGTGGGTTAAGCCTCAGCCTTCAGCTGAGGTCATGATCCCAGGGTCCTGGGATCGAGCCCCGCATAGAACTCTCTGCTCAGCAGGGAGCCTGCTTCCCCCTCTCCCTCTGCCTGCCTCTCTGCCTACTTTGTGATCTCTCTCTGTCAAATAAATACATTTTAAAAATTTTTTAAAAAATGAGATCTTTTAAAAAGATAAATTAAAGAAAGTTTAAAAAAAAAGCTTTTGATAAACACCATCCAAGTTAGTTTTACCATAGTTTCCCTGTGACAGTGCCCATTTTACTTCACCCTCAAATAGTTAAGTATTATAAAGTAAATGTTAAAATGTTAAGCTCTTTAGCATAAGATATTCAGCAGCTGAATTTTCAAAGAGATTT